AGCATTTATACACCTAATATTTTCATGACAACAGAGTATAGGACTTGCAAATAAAAGATGAGCATGACGAAATTATTTCTTGGTGTTAAAAGTCAAATGGAAGGTTATTCTGATCTTGCTGCTCATACTCAACTCCATGGGAAAGGGAACTTTATGAATATACTGGTGGAAGACCCAGATTTTCTGGTGCATTTCAAACAAGTATGGAAGAGGTAAAGAACAATAATCTATTATACTATATAGCATGAACCTATATCTTCTAACGCGAACAAATGATATGAGCAGAAAAACAAATACTGGAGTAGCTTCCAATGTTGTGTATGTTTGTATAATTCACTTAGCCAATCAACTGGGTCAGTTTCCTATTAGGTACTAGTGGACATAGCCTACTAGATACAGCAACGTAACAGTAAAGCTCACTAGAAAATTGATTCACTATTAACTGCTGACGTCAATAACAGACCAGAAGCACAAGGAATATTGTCGTAATTTTGTTTTTTCAACAAAAACACACCTTAGGAATCAGGAAGAAAATGGAAAATGTTTTATGTTCTAGTTTAGGACTTCAAAACAAAAATTGAGACTTACACAATACGGGGTTTGTGGTGATGATGTCAGATCTCTAAAAGCTCATCCCAGGTAGGATCCAGTTACAAAGGTTGACAATTTGTTTGATTCCTTGCTAAAGAATTTACTAAAATGTCTGTGCGTATAATCATACAAGGAGAAAAGTGAACAGGTGAGGTATTTATGAAGAGGGCATTTATAGCAGCCAAAAGTGTTCATTTGCCCCTCTGAATAATACACATGATCATTATAGCACAATTAAGAGAATTAAACACAGACAGTATGAAATAGTGGATTCCAAAACTAACCTTGCCCATAATTATACCTAAGACCATTCCAGACCCTGAGTGCTCTTCCCCCCACCTTGCCATTATGGTTTTGAGCCCAGAGGTTAGTCACCTAGATATAAGTCTAGCTTTGTCACCGAAACAGAAGAGTCAGGAGCAAGACGGCAGATAGGAGATACAAGGAACCGTGGGCTCTGGTGTCTGGCAGACCTTGCTGTGAACAATGACATTTTTATTTTTTTACTAGCTGTATCATTGTTAGCAACTTTCTTGAAGTCTTTCGTCCTGAAATTGAAAGGAATACCAATTTTATTGATTTTTGTGAAGATTAAGGAAGTAAAACACATGGAGACCTAGAAAATTAGGAAAGCCCGACGCAGCCTTGTGAGGATTGTCCAATATGCCACCGGTAATCCCAGCTCCATTACCCCACTGAGACGTCATTCATTTCTTCAAACAATATTCACTGAACACTGCTGTGCTTTGAACAGGAAATGCCATCCACAGGCCTATGCATTGGAGCGCAGTTCCCAGTTGGTGCTGCTGCTTCAAATCCTCATGGGACTTGTTAGAAGTGGGTCACTGGCGGGAGGGGGCTAGAGGAGGGGATGGGACAAGCCAGTTTTCTAGCTTATCCTCACTTCCTAGCCTTTCTTTGCTTCCAGCTGTCTTGAGCTCATGTACCTTCCCTGTCATGGCAGACTAAATGCTTTCAAACCTTGTGTCAGGTAGCAGTAATAAGAAAAGTAACCACTGTGGGCCTATGCCCTAAGCCACCCAGAATGTTCAGTGCTGAAATGGACTTCAGAGTATTCCTAAGGTGGTGCAGAGGTGGAAGGGAAATAAATGTCAAAGAAAATATGTTATTTTCTTGAATTGAAAAATGGTTTGCCTTTATTTAAGGGGGGCGGGCTTAAGCATATACTTAACCAGGAGGGGAAGCAGGAGGGGGCATGCAAGAGAAAAGGGCGGGCTATATAGGCTTCTCAGGAGAGTCAGGAAGGCACAGAATTAACTAGGAAGTTACTTGACATTCTACTCCTGTTTCTGTAGGATTAATGATGAAAAAGCAGCCTCTGAAGGGAAGGAACAAGCCATAGGCTTTCCATTCCACCCCTGGGCAACCCATTGTCAACCTCTCCCTAGCCAATTATGTGCTAATCCAGGCCTTTGCTTAGGCTGCTCAGACCTCAATACTACACAAAGGGACCAGAAAGGGAGAAAAGCAAAGGGCTCTGGCCACTGTCCCTCCCTTGCAGTGCAGGAAAGTATTTTAGTTTTATTTTATTTTTCCCTTTCCATCTCCACTATAGGATTTCTTAAAAGAGGAAAATTTAGTTGAAATCACAATGTATGTATCTACCTAACTTTTTAAAGGTTTCTTTGTGTGTGTGTGTGTGTGTGTGTGTGTGTGTGTGTGTGTGTGTTCACTAATGTGTGGTACATGCATTTGTACATGTGGATGTGGCCACTAGAGGAACACATGAGATGTCTTTCTCTGTGGCATGCTACCTGATTTCCACGAGTCAGGGTCTCTTAGTGAACTGGAAGTTACCATTTCAACTAGACTGCCCTCCTGGACCCAGCTGTCTCTGTTCTCAGTGCTGAGGTTGCAGAACTGCGCAGCCACACCTGGTTGTTTACCTAGGTGCTGGGATTTGAACACAGGTTCTCCTTCTTACACAATGAGCCATCTCCAAAGTCCAAAGTTTTCTTTTGAAGAGTTAGTATGTAAAGCTACACGACACTATAAACTGCACCAGCCAATGCAAGTAACTTTACCGTGAATTAACACACCGTGTTCTCCATTTTAGCCAGCATCTGAGGTGAAAGCTTTCTTTGGAGAAAATAGGCTTCATTTCTTCCATATAGAACCGGATGTTCTGGACTTTCAGTGTGGTAGGCAGAATAAGAACCTTCAAAGATGTCCATGCCCCAATCCTAAGAACCTGCAAATAAGCTCCTTCACATGGCAAAAAGCAATTTTTTTGCAAACATGATTTGGAAATGGGGAGATTATCCTAAATTATGCAGTTGGATTTCCAGAGTTACTTGAATTCTTAAAAATGGAAAACCTTTTTCAACTGAGACCAGAAAAAGAAAAGCAGCTGTTGGGTAGGGACAGGGAGGTGCTACAGCACTGGCCTTACAGACTGGGGAAGAAAGCCATGAGCCAAGGAAGCTGGGAAAGGAAAGAAAATGGAATCTCCTTGCAACCTTAGAAGGGGTGTAGTTATGCCAATATCTTGATTTCATGCCAGCAAATCATAATTAAAATAAATACATACAATTGTCAAAATTGGTTGGGGAATAAATAGAAAAGGTAGGCACCAGAGGACATTAGGCAAGCAGAGATACGGGTCAATAAAGAGAAGTGGGAAGATAACCAATTCAATGGCCCAGATTGGTCCAGAGGCTCCGCAGCATGAGCACTGTGATGCTATCGGTGGGCAATAGCAGAAGCTGGGGCTGTAACACTATGAATCATGATGCTTGTTTGCCCATTTGAACAAAACCAAAGTCAGGTTTCCCACTCTGGTCATTTCTTCTCTTAACTCTATCATTATCACATTGGTGTTTATCATCGCCCTATAAGTTCTCATGCATGGGGTATCAACATCATTGTCATTCTTTTTCATTCCAGGTTAGATTGTGAGGTCTGAAAACAAAGGACCTATGGATATCTGTACATCACTGCATTCTTGGTCTCACTTATTATAGAATAGGGCTATTTCCCAATTGTCTGCTCAGCCTGCATCTAATTAGGCTCTACTGTTCTCCTACCTGTGTGCCTATAGGATTACAGGTAACACAGCTGTTTTGTGAAGACAGGAAATGTGTTGTCTAGTCTTTTGTAGTCAAGGAATTGATTTTTTGTAGTAGCTAAGTGATTTATTAAAGGTGATTTTGCCTTGTTTATCAGGTTAACCTGATGTACACCAGAAAGACTTAACATTGAAATAGATTATGGAGCACGTTTGATAGTTAAAACAATATTGTGGAGCAGGTTTGAGAGTCACCATAGAAGGATTAGAAAATATCTGGTTTTATTCATTGAATCTGCTTGTTATACAAAGTCCTGAAAATTGTAAGAATATTCATCCAAAGGGGAGCCAAAGGCCAGTGGATTGGACCAGCCAAAGGTCATTTATAAAAAGAATGGGTGGAGATGGGCTGCACACTGGGATTAATGACTTCAGGTTTAGAAGCTTTGGGTTTTGACTTTTTCTCTTTTGTTTTCTTTAAGTTACCTTCTTTCCCCAGCAGGCTCATCTGAAAGTGGGTGGAATCTTGACAAATTCTGTTGTGTTTCGTGTTTTTCAATACCTCTCCTTCTCTCCTCCCAAGACATATCTTCACACTGATGAAATCAGGCAAAAAGATTTATGAGCCTCAGTTCTTACGAGTGCCAGCTGGTCAAGGAGAGGTAGAAAGTCTTCCCCTTTCATCTGCTTCCTCATTTGCACTATGTGGGGGATGGCACCTGCCCCTCCAAGCACAACACAGGAAGCCCCTGATCATGAACCTAGATGTACACATGGGAATTGTGTTTATTGCCTTTTCCTTCTCCGTCCTTTTTCTCCATCTTCTGTTTCTTCTGATTGCTGTCTCCTATCTGCACTTGGATTGTGGACCTGACATCTCCCCTGATTCAGCTCTTGGCCTGTTTCTCTTCTAATACCAAGGGGCTGAGCAGGACTTCCGGAACTGCTCCTCCCCTTGCTTCCTAGATAGGACTTGACATTGATTCCTGGCTTCCCAGCTGAGGACCTGCTATTTCCAAGTTTCGGTCTCATTTGTTCAGCATGTGACAGGCTGTATGTGCCATGATGTGTCTGCTTCCTGTCTGTTTTAACCTTCGGTGGTGATGAAGGGTGGAGTGTTCATCACTGAGAGTCCATCTTCTTTTGTTTTAAATAGTTTTCTCCTTGGAAAGAGAATGTTAAGTGGCAGTGGCCGAAGGCTGGGTAGACAGTGAAAAGGGTTATTGTTTAGTTGGAATAAAGTCCAAGAACTACCCGACGACATTCACAACAGTGAGGATGGACCTCACTCAAATAAACTTTGTACCCATCCATGGTTAAATTGGTTTTAAAGAGTTATATTATGTATCCTTGATTTACTTATTTGTGTTTTAAGATACAAAGGGTGTGTACCATTTCAGGAGAAATCACACTGCCAGACTGATGAGTGGAATGGACATGCTCCATTCCATCGTTCTGATCCAAAATCCCTTTAGTGTTTTTGTCCTAGAACAGAGGACGTATCGCAAACTAAATTGATAAGAACAAATAACACACTTGATTGCAGCCAAAAGGCCAAGAAGTGAAGTATGTACTTCTTTTCCCCAAAAGGTAACTTCAGACATTGTTCTCTCCCAGGTCCTGCTCTATTTGCCTCTTCTGGTGTTAATTTGGTTGTCACCTCATGGGGAGCTCTTTATTTTTAACTCTTTTAGAAAGAAATGCTACCAGTTAGATGCGGTGCTACATGGCCAGCCTGGTCCACAGAGTGAGTTCCAAGACTGCCAGGGCTACACAGAGAAACTCTGTCTCAAAAACAAAATTGAACAGAAAAGAAAGGGAGTTGGAACAAAAATTTGCCATTGCACCTGTCTTTGGGTCACCAGAATCACGATTTCCTACCTCACAAGTCTCACCAAGCCCTTTGGAGATTCCCATACCATGAGTAATTGCTGAACATCAACTAAACACTGCTAAACATTGGCCGAAATCCAAAGATGAATCACACATAAGCCATTTCTTACTGAAGTTTATACTTATAAATAATAACAACAGATCGACCATTTACTAAGGTCCTTCATGCTGAGAAGTGTAGTGTTACATGCATATAATTTATCTCACTGACTAAACAGTTGAATAACTGTAGCCATTTTTCTCTAGTCTTTGGCAATGATATATACTTATTTGGAAAGCAAGTTTGGGATTAAGCTCCACTAAAAATGGGATTGGTGTCTGCTGAGGCTTTGGTGCCAAGAAGAGCACTGAGGAATGCTACACACGACAGCCTGTCTTCATTTTAAAGATAAGGAAATTGAGGATCTGCCAGGTTTAAAGAATTTGCACAGACAACTTAGCTAATAAGACACAGAGACAGCATTTGAAACTGTGGTCTGGTGGACTCAGGCTATGTGAATCTTTCTGCTACCTCACAGAGCTGTCCTGTACAGCTGTAACAAAACTTAGAACAAATTTGTATGTTAGGAACTCTGCATGTAATAGTGTTGGAAGGAGGGAGAGATTTAGCTCTGTCTGGAGATGGTCAGGTATGAAAAGAAATATAAGAAAGAGGGACAATGTGAGCAAATGTTCACAGAAAGTGTTTTGTGTATGGTTAGTGAGTATAGAGTTAACTGGAATCTCTCAAGAGAGACACAGAGAAATAGGGATGGACTTTGAAGCTCTATAATCCATGAAATAAGCCAGATATATAACAACATATTTCATAGATTCACTTATATGAGATGCACACAATAGGCAAATCTGTAGCTAGAGAAAGTCGAATAGAGGTTACAAAGGGCTGACCAAAGTTCTAGAAATGGATAATAGAAATGGCTTTGATAATGTTGCGAGGGACCGAATGCCACCCAATGGCACACTTAAAAATTGAGGAAATAGTAAATTTTATGTTAGGAATATTCTACTAAGATTGAAAAAAACTTGAAAATTTCACTTAAATTATTTCTCAAAACGGTAGGTTCTCATCCTATATTAATAAACACAGAAGCATGTAACATGAAGGCCACAACCTCAGATGATTCCTGAGCCCTCAAAACATGCTAGTGTTAATCAAAATGTTCTATGCATGCAAAATGTACATTGGGTTTTGAATGCTTACGAGTTAGTGCATAAAATATTTCATTAATGGTGTTTTATATTGGTAACAGTCTAAAATGACAGCATTTAGGATATGCTAAGTTGCTAAAAACACATTGTCATTTTTTAATAAGGGAAAAGGCAGAGAAAGGGGCATGGATGATGTTGAGAGTTGGAGTGAAGATGGGAGAAGAGATTGGACTAGACGATGCAGGAAGCCCCCAAACCTTCAAGCCCCTGGTGTTTCTCTAGATTGGACTTCAAGATTTTGTAAACAAAAAAAATTTACAGGGCCAACAGTTGTACTTTGGTGTACTCATCTAGAAGTAGTCTGTAAAACCCGAGGAAGTCAGAGAGTAGACAAATGGGTTAAACTTTCTCCCCCTTCTTTTGGCTCCATTTAGGTCAACATTGGTCTTGACATTGGGAATGTCCTCAACAAAATCTAGGACTCAGTGGCATGCTTGCGTGGCACTCTTTGTTTTTAAATAATTTTAATATGATATTATTTTACCTCCCCCCCCCATAGTCTGTAGGTTTAGAACACAATTTGAAGCTCGTTTTCCAGAGAGGAATCCAATTTGGCTCTTTGTATTTCTGTTCAGATATTATATGATTTTATTTTTTATTGCAACTCTTTAGAATGGTTCACAGATGTTGCTGCTAAAATAGATCCTTCTGGAACTATTTGGTTTGAGAAAATTTTCTGTTGCCATGGATTAAACTAATGGGAGACCTCGTGTTTAAAATTCAAGGCTGAATTCACATTCGGAGACTAACAGTGTTTTCTTAAATTTATGTAACACAGTCATAGGGGGCTGTGCTCTGTGCATACTTAAGACCATCTCTCCTTAATTAACCAGGACAATACCTTCAGAAACAAAGAAATTAATGCCTCTACTTGGTTAGCTATGTGGGGAAAATGTGGTCACTAGAAAAACAGGATTTAAATTTTGCACACAAACATGCTAAAACTTGGCAAAATTTATTACTTAGAAATAATTTAGCAGAGGATTAGATTTAAGTTTTAACAAAACATCAGCTGAGCTTTGTGGAAACTGCTGATGGGTGGAGGTACATATAAATGCGCCCTGGTCTCTCTCTCCACCATTCTCTCTTTTGATACTATCAGCATTGCCACCAAGCTTGTCTTCATTGTCCCACATATGATGCCTGGGGCACTAGTACACCTGCACCTCCATTATGTCCCATCTCTTAAGACTCAATCCTCATCACTCTAGTTTGCCCCTTGCAACCAGGCAACTGCCATTCTGGATGTCTAAACAAAATTGCCTGTTCTATCCACAGCACCATTGATCCGGGATCTAATGCACAAAGTAGGATATGTCCATCATCAGCTTCTAAGTTATGTCCCAGGGACACTGAGTCCCACAAAAATCATAATTTATAAAAGGACTTTATGATCTGGAAAACTTTACCTACTATATCGTATTTAATTGGGCATTTACAATGGAAACCTTTGAGAGCCCATAGATGTCTTTCAGTGAAGTACATGATTATTATTTTGTTTAACCCCTCGTTTTATTGATGTTAACCCCTCATCTTGCATGACGTCATTTAACATTATGAAAAACTGGTGTTGGCAAAGATGCTTTCCTAATGATGACTATAGAGGGGTTTCCACTCTGCCTATGCCCTATCCCTAGCTGCTCTGTAAGGTGTGTTTCATTCCTTGTGTACTAATACTGAAAACCGTGAGGCAGACCTATAGGCCTCACCTCTTCTCTTTACTGCTCAGTTTTAGATCACAGCATGCACCATAGTGTTTCCTCAGTTGCCTGAGTTTTTGAAAGATTTGTCAGGCCATTTTCGCTTAAAGGATGTCCAAAGTACTTCACATACTAATACCCAGGACAAAATATCCTTGCAAGAGGTACTTATTGTTACTCTTATCTCTAAAATCTCTCTCAAATATTTGCTGTTTCCTAATGCCCTTGAAACTTTCAAGATTTAGGTACGCATCATTTCATTTTTTTTTCTTCACAACAGTAATCAGCAATTTATACTCAGTAGTTTAGTTATTTATAACTTTGCTCAGGGTTCTCTTGTACATTACCCAATTAGCTCAATAAGTACTTCATTTACTCTGTTCACATATTCTCCACTCTGTAATTCATTCACCACACTGCCATTTAATTATTTTTAAACACAAATCTAATGATGCCATTCCCATGCTCAAGAATGGTTAATGATCTCCCATTATCTATGTAATAGAGGGAAGTAACTCCTCATCATGGGAGACACACCCAAGTCCACACTTCCCATGATGCTGTTTTACGATCCAGCCACCCTGCAATACTCTTCCAATATACAAAACACAATGAGTTTTCAGAGCCTTGGGTTTTGTCCATATACATTTTTTTTGACAGTATTGTTTTTGCATTTGCTCTGCCTTGAAAACTCTTGCCTCTTCCACTTGCTTAAAAAGTAACTGTTCACTTTTTCAGGCCTAGTTCATATTTTACTTGCTACATGAAACATGTTTTCTCTTGATCTTAGGTTTAGAAATTTATGTTTTATATATATATATATATATATATATATATATATATATAGTATCATGCTATATTTTAAATAATAACTTACATCGAGACTTTTGTCTGTATTGAACAGTGAGCTCTGTGGAAGGAGATGTGTTACTGGTTCTTTATGCTGTGAAAACCAAACACAAAATCTTGTATACAGTAGGAAACCACATAAATATTTATTAACTGCATTTACCACTATAGAAGGCTTTTTACTACTGTTAACTCCTTAAGTAAGTAGTACACCTTAAGAGTAAGGCGATTGTTAATTTTCTCCTTGTCAAAGATCCTTCTCATTACAAAAGAATTCACAATAGGACTCCTAAAAAAAAAAAAGGAACAAATTCTGTATCTAAATAAAAACATGATCACATGGAAATCTTGCAACACACGCCTACAACACACACCTGTATGTACAGTCTTTCCCAGGAGTCTGTCTTATATACCTATGCTCCTATAGTTATTATGTTTTTAGTGGGACTTTCTCAAACTAAATATGCAGGCCAATTAGTGTCCTGGCCCTAGACGAACGTGGTATCTTCACTTTTCCGATGGAGATTTCCTGGTTGGTTCTCAGTGGGGTGATCTTATCTGTAGCCTTACTCCCTAATCTAAGTTCACTTGCAGGTCAGGTGTCGCAGTTTGTTTCTGAGTCAATGACCTCATCTCCTTCAAGGGAGCTACCTTTCCTTCAAAGAGCTGCTGTTGGAAAATCACACAGGGAACGTACCCACTGGAGAGGGAATTTTCCAGACCCGAAGGGCAGCATCCCCACTATGCATTGTTCTCAACACCTCCTGTCCGGGCTGGAGATTAGTCTTAGAAATACTGACTGGCAGATGGAGGACTATTCTTCCTCTGTAGACCTTCTACTTTCCTACATCTAATTAATCAGTTTTCCGAAATTTAAGTGTTTATGCTTGAGGCAGGATTCTTTTCTTTTTCTCT